GTATACTTGATCCTTTGTACCCAAGTCCCAGTGTACATCCATTGAAGCGGGTGGAGTTAATGAATATGCCTAGGGAAGTGTCCATAACTACTAAGGATTATTCAGTCCCACAGAGGAGCCCATATATTGCTCTTGGAAGCAGGAGGATTGAAATGTCCTATCTTAATATATTTGAGGGAGCACCTCAGATATCAAATGTGAAGAAAATTCTCACCCCAGCTAGGAAGGCTGGCTGCCCTTGGTTAAATGAGGAAGGGCAGAGAGAAGAAAGAGATCGGTCAGAATGTAAAACAGTCAGACTCTTCTGATCTCAAGAAAAACAGCTTCACAGAAATGAAAACTTTTTTTTAAAAAAAAGATCTGAAATCATTCGTTGTGCATTTGAGTAAGGCACAAGAGCAGAGCAATTGTGTAAGAGCTGCTTACCAGGAAGTAAGAGATGAGAGCCAGGAGTCCCAACGTCAGGTACAATGGTTGTTGGCCTTTCCTGTCACAAGCAACGTGATTTTCCACTGTTAGTTGCAGGAATAAATAGCGTGTTTTGGATAAAGTGGTGTTATCTTTACAAAAGGAACACTTTACAAAGGGGTTTAGCATGAAGGATGACTCTGAATGATGGCCCAGTGAATGCTGCAAAGAAGCAAGCATTTTAAAAACGTCTAGGGAAGCTTCTGCCCCTTTACATAAATGGCTGGCAGTGGCCTTGGGGGCACTTAATGATGATTTGGCGTCAGGGCCTTTTCTATCCCATTTTTGAGTTTGTTTTTAAAATTAGAAATCAGAAAATTTACCAGGAATAAAGCATGCAAACTAAAGGAAGAAAAAAAACCCAATGCAAAAATCCACAACATAGCACTCTTGGGGGCTGTATTTAGCTTTTATTTTAATAGTAATTTTTTTTAGAAAGTTAAGGAAATATTTAAAGACAGAGTATACCATCATCATCAAATTGTTTCATGTTGACCAACTTCTAAACACTGGGAGTATGTGTGTGTCTCGTCCAAATTGACCCTGACGGCTGAACCTATTTGTCTCCACGTCCTTCCAGAATGAACACCACTCCTTCCTCATCCATGAGTCTGGAGCACAGGCTTGTGAGATACCATTTATAAAGCACTTTGAGAACCCTATAAGTTATTTAATTCCAGGTATTACTATTTTTAGCATTAAGACCCCTTAGACTTCTCAGATTCATTATTTCTATGAATCTTTTTCTCTTTTGGTTTGGAGAAAGTTTAAGGTTGCTCACCAATGACAGGGATTATATTTTTGCCCTTGCTATATCTTCAAAGTAAATATCCCTCTGTAAAGGCCATTGGCCGTTAATTGGTTACAAAGGACCAGGGCACTAGTCACTCACTGGCAGAGGGAGAGAATATACTGAACCATCTTCATGTTTCTCAACCATTTTAGACCCTTGTAAACATTGCCTTTTTAACATTCACGGTCATGCTCTGAGGGCCTGGCATACCTTAGCTATTAGGTGTTCATGGGCTCACAAATCTATAAGCCTCTGTTTCTTCTTTTATTGTAGTTGGCCATCCTTTGGCTTTTGTCGGTTTTCCATTGAATTTAGTTAGATCCAGAACAGAATAGCATGGCCACATTGACTCTGAGACATCCTTTACAGAGAATGCAGCTGTACTTTGTTTAAAGAAACCATGGATCTATAGGCTAAGCAGAACCAGAGAGACCTACTAATTTTGTTGGATTATAGAATCATAAATTTGAACTTAGAAAGGACCTTAGAAGCTATGCAGTACAGCCTCTTTGTCTTACAGATGAGGACATTGAGGACCACAGAGATCACAAACAATAATATTTATATAGTGCTTTAAGGCTTGCAAAACTTTTACAAATGTTATCTCCTTTTATCCTACAATTCTAGGAGGTAGATGTTAATATTATCCATTTTTTTACAGAGGTTATCTTTCTATCTATCTCTCTCTCTATCTATCTATCTATCTATCTGTCTGTCTGTCTGTCTGTCTATCTGTCTATCTGTCTATCTATCTGTCTATCTATCTGTCTGTCTATCTATCTATCTATCTATCTGTCTATCTGTCTGTCTGTCTGTCTGTCTATCTATCTGTCTATCCATCTATCTATCTGTCTGTCTATCTGTCTGTCTATCTATCTAATCTATCTATCTATCTATCTGTCTGTCTGTCTATTTGTCTGTCTGTCTGTCTATCTGTCTATCTGTCTGTCTGTCTATCTATCTGTCTATCTGTCTATCTATCTGTCTATCTATCTGTCTGTCTATCTATCTATCTATCTATCTGTCTGTCCGTCTGTCTGTCTGTCTGTCTATCTATCTATCTATCTATCTGTCTATCTGTCTATCTATCTATCTATCTATCTATCTATCTATCT